TTATCTAACACCTTCCTCTGGGACCCCACTGAACATCGCTGTTGGTAGCAAGGTTTACCCTCATCAGCACACGCTTCTGTTATAGGTTTTGTCACCTTGCAGTTCAGCAGTTCACATGCGGCTCTCTCCCTCCCACACCCATGACAGTACATCCCGGAGCCCCAGGACTCTATGTCATGCACATGGCCCTCAGCCCCTTGATGGGGTCTGGCGTGTGAAAAGACGCTCAGTGGCAGCTACAGGGCAGGCTGCAGGTGAGCGGGAAACGAACTTCCTGAGGTGCAGAGGGTCGTGTTTGGACTCTTGAGCCTTGACATTTACTATTTCTATGACCTTAAGGAGTCATTGAACTCTGTTTCACTCCTGTATGACCCTAGTGGCCAGCTGTTTACACTCAGATAATTTACCCAGCATTTATACTCAGAAAATACGGCTGCACTGGTTTTAAAAACACTGAAGCACTTCCATATACTTTATCCCCCTGTGTGCCACCCTAACAGCCTGTGCCTGCCCCAGGACTGTCAGGCCTCCTTTTCACAGCCAAAAAAGGGCAAATACACCCCAGGAGGTCTGCAGGCCTCCGCCTGGGCACCGAGGCTGGCTTCCCTTCTGGGTGGTTCATGCACTCCTCCTGTCCTACCTCATGGGTACAACAGTGACTGTCACCTCTGACTCTGCCAGAGTGACACCGAATGATATAGTTCACATGCAAACACCTCACAAACTGTAAAGGGCTGTACACATATATGTCCTCTCTGTAATTCCCTGGGAGAGATCAGAGCCATAAGGAAGGAAGAGAACCTTTTTCCTTAGAGCTCTGTTTAGTCAAAGGGTATGGAAGGATTTGGTGGGGACATTACGAGATGCTCATGAGCTCACTGAAGAGAACACACAAAAGTTCAGCTGGACCCCTGGCTGGTCAAAGGGAGCATGTCCTCATCTTTAAAATGACTTGTGGGACTTCCTGCTACAGCAGCCTGGGCTTCTCTCTGCAGCCGTGGGCAGCACACACCATGGGCTGGGCACTCCAGGTCCAGCCCCAGTGCTCACAAGTAGAAGCCCATTTACTGCGCAGGGCACATTGCAGGTATCCTCCCGGATAGGACAGAGCAGTCTGGGGGTGAGGACAGGGGCAGGACAGTGGGCTCCCGGAGTGAGGGTTTGCACCATCTGCTGTTTATGGGAAATCGGATGTGCTAATGAACCCGAGATCCATCAGGGCTTTCTGGAAGCAGGATGATCTCTGTCAACAGACCAATTAGCACACAATTATTTTCCCTTTCTGAGGCTCTCTTTGAACCTGGTGCCTGAGTGAACTGCACTTTGCCTTGCCTCTCTGGGCCTCTTTATAGTCTGCCAGAGCTGTCTGCCTTCTCTGAGGAGAAAACTCTAGGATTCTCTTGACGGACCCTTCAGAAGCTCTGTGGCTTTCACCACACTGGGGACGACGTGAGGAGGGGGCTTCTCAGCTATTCTGTTTACTCAGTCAATGCTGGGCAGTACCTGCCAGGGAACCTTGGCCAGTTCCCGCTTCCCTTCTCCTTACTTTCCTAGGAGAGAGATGGTCTTAGAGAACAGCAGCAAAAAGAGCTAAGTCATCAGGATTTCCTGAAACCTGACCAAGCCTTCCCCACCCGTGGAGCTCTGGCTCTGATGCTCCCCGACATCAGGAGATGAGCGCGAGGGTCAGGGTGAGGTCTCTTCCTCCTCCCCATCCAGTTAACAAAGGGGAGCTACACACACCCTCGCAGAGACCTGCCTGATTGTCTTCTTGTGGAATCATGTCAGGGCCAGTTCCAGACGGTGAACAAAATGGCAGAGGGGAGCAGATGGACCCTGGGTGGGAAAAGGAGTGGGGTAAGGGAGGGGACAAGAACCTTCCTATTTCGGCTGTCCTCTGGCCTGTCTCCCTCCTGGCCTCACATCTGACCTTTACATAGGGCTTGTCAGCTCCCTCCCTGCCTAGACCTGGTGGGTGAGTGATCAGTTCTGGAATGGGTAAGTGGGAAAGCCGAAACATTTTGGTGACCAGCTTACTTGGAGGCAGAGACAGGCCAGTCTCCCCAATACCACACCCACCGTCGTACCTCTGCTGTCCAGCCCACCCTATTCCAGGAAGGACAGGCTTCCCCAGAGTCGCTAGGCTATCTCTTGGCCATAGCTCTTCTTGTAGGAACTCTTACTCCATATAGAAAGAGAAGACTTGGCTTTGGAGTGAGTCAGGCTTCCTCTTCCCAGTCCAGTGTGACTACTAGCTACTCACCCAGTAAGAAATATTGAGACCCCATGCTGTGGAGGGAAGCAGGTCCACGCGGAAGACCCTAAACACTTATCTAAGCTTTTTATAGGCAATGACTTGGTCTTATTCATCTATGGTTTCTTGATATTCCTTAAGCATTTGTTAAATAAACAAATAAGTGAATGGAAGAATGAAAGAATAAGTCAAATGAATTCTAGCCCTGCTGGTGAGCAGCTGTGTGACCTTGGGTGCATTGTTTAACTCGTCTGGGTCTTGGTTTCCTGATCTGTAATACAAGGATAAAGATCCTGACTTCATGTCAATACGATTTATTTTCCCCATGTCAACATGCTGAGGAGCCGGCACATCACGATATACGTTGGATGGACTGGTCTGTTTAGAATTCTTTTTTTTTAAGAGAGTGATGGCATCTTAAGTGGTTTCGGCCCTCTTTACTTTCTGCGGCCCTTTGACCTGCTTTCTCAGGAGACAAAAAGGTATTGAGCTGGAGTCGGAGGCTCAGAAGTTACAATCCTCACTAGCCCTGTGGTCTCAGGACCTGCAATTCTCTGAACCTCGGTCTCCTCTCTGGAGGGTGGCGGAGGTGAGATCTGTCCCTGTGAGCTCCTGCGAAGGTTCAGTGGAATGGAAGACTCAGAGAGGCCGCCTGTGCTCCTGTCCTGGTCTGGGTCCTGCTCCTCATCCGCGGGTCTTGCTGCCTCTCAGGTGCTGTCTGTGCTGCCCCTAGGTCTGGGTCTCGAGTCACCTTTCTTTCTTCTCTCCCTCTCTCTCCCCTCCCCCGGCTGCTTGTCTTTCCAGAACCGTGTAGGGCTCCCCTGTTGAGAGCCACAGCGGAAGGGGCCCCAGCAAACTTCCAGCTGCCGGCTGATGATTGGCTCACAGCGGCCCCAGCAACATCTAGCTGATTGGCTCCTCTGCGGTGATGCTCATTGGGCTGTTTCCCTGCCCTTTCAGACCACGGAGCTGCTCATTGGGGGACTTTTTTGGCTCCGCCCACATGACCCAGCCAATCGGCCTCAAGAGGAGGAGGATTGTGGGAGGTGGAGAGAAGCTTGTGTGGGAGAGAGAGGCTTGTGAAAAGCCGGTGGTGGCAGTTGAGGCTCTGAGGGTTTTTCCTGAGAGGCTGTTTTGTTTGGCGTGTGTGGTTCTAAAAATAAAGTTAGTTTCTTTTGACAAGTGGCTCCTGATTGTGCCCAGCCAGACTGCGGCATTTGGTGGCCCATAAAGCCTTCTGGGCCTGCTGGAAGCTCCAAGGATCCCTCCTGTCTCTCTCCTGCTGCAGTTTTAGTCAGTGTAGCGCTGCTTCTCCCTCGGCTACTCCGTCCCATGTGCATTTTTAAAGTGCAAGCAAAGCCCGCTCTGTGATGTGCTTGCGGGTTGGCGTGCCCCAGGGTGACCAGCAGGGTGCTACACCTGTGCTATGCACTTTTGAGCCCAGGTGCTGTAGATCTCACTGCCCCATCTGTCCCCTCCCTTCCTGACCTGCCCACTTTCTACATATCCTTAGGGACCAGCTCAGACGGAATTTCCTGGGCCACTTCCTGTTTTCCCTCTGTGCAGAGCTATACGTTCCTCAGGGCTCCTTCTGCCACATTCTTATAAGTACCCCCCACCCCCAGGACTCATTATGTAACTTGTACATCTTTGTGTCCACCCGGCAAAGCCTAGAACACGTTCCTCTTACGTTCTCTGAGTCATTGAGTACCTACTGTATGCCAGGCACTGAACTAGCTGCTGTCAATCACATGGTAAGAAAAATAATCTGAGCTCATCTCTGTGGAGGTCATAGTGTGTGGGGCCCAGACATGAACCAGCCCCTCCCAGAAAAGGAGCTGAAACTGCAGCTCACGCAGCAGCAAAACAGAGGTGCCTGGAGCTCCAAGAGGAGGTCCTAGGTGTCGGGGTGCACTTCCTTGAAGAACTCCAGCGAGGTACTCCATGAATGTGTGATGAACTGTGTGGAACTGAACAGTGGCTGCTCAATAAATACTCGTTGATTGGTTGATTGATTGTTGGCAAAGACTTCAGGGATCCTGAGAAGAAAGGGCCTCGGGTCCCCATCATTCTTATTACATAATTATTTTAGTGCATTTAAAGCTCCCCATTTTTCATCTGATACTTTAAACATCAGGGAAAACTGATGGGCCAACTTTATAATATTTTAAAATGACTCTATGGTGTTTTGCAATATTACATGGCTATAAGAGTTTATGTATATTTAATACACTTATTAAAATATGCAGCGAGCCCATGGCTGATTTTCTCTAAGGACATCTCGGTGTTGAGGTGGGACTTAAATGTTTAATACTAATAATAATACTCACATCTCATATTTCTCTAGTGCTTTCCATTCTCGGGATCCCTAAAGCCTGTGAGGCCCACATCAGGTGGCTGCAGCTGGGCTCAGCAGCAGGCTCACAGGGACCACATCTGGCCCCACCTTCCTCTGGGGGAGACTCTGACTTACGGGTCACACCTCTTCTCCAGCTTCCTCAGCCCCCATTGCATTTCCTCTTCCCCAACACAGATTCCCTTTAGCTGTCTCTGGAAGGCTTCTCCTTAATGTGACACCGGGCCACCAGCTATACCTCAGAGACACTCCCTGTCTCAGGACAAGGAAGCAAAGTGACTGTGTTCCTTTGGTTGGACAGGGACAGGGTGGGAGTCTCCATTGGATGACTGGAGAAGGAGAAGCTCCCTCCTGTTTCCTCAATCCGTATCCTGCCCCTTCCTTCTCTAGGTCACAGAGACCAGGACCGGTCCTCTGGGTTGCAGCAACTATGACAATCTGGACTCGGTCAGCTCTGTCCTGGTGCAGAGCCCAGAGAACAAAGTGCAGTTACTAGGTAAGCAGCTCCGTGACGGTTTTCGTACTGCTTACACACGGTGGGAAACCCAGATCTCCAAAGAGCTAGGAAAGGTCCTGCCTTCCCATTCGGTGAGGCCCTTCTTGCAACAAGAACTGACACAAATTCTGGGACCCATGTTTAATAACTTTCCATCATTCTTTTGAGAAGACTCCTGATGCCCTCCACCGAAGACCCACTGATCCCACCACTTACACCCAAATCCTCCCATCTCATATTCCTCCTCAAAATCCCCGACACCATCCTAGAAGGAATGGCACTTCCACCCTCAGAAGCCTTGACCTAGTTCAGTGATCTGCTTTGTTACTCGGAAAGTCTCTCTGCTTTATCCTAAAGACTTGCAGAGGAATAACTGGTCTTTGCAGAGTCATTAGGAGGTCACCACCTTTAGCTCAAATAAGAGATCTACAAACTTTGGGACCACTGGTTACTGCGACAGTGACCTGGGCATGGCTCCTGCTTTCTGTTATTAGTTTGTGGTCTTCCAAGGAGCTTCAAAGTCAGGAGGAGAGTTTGAGAGAAACTGGAGCCTTTTGACTGGAGACAGAAGGAGAACTGGGAAAGAAAAAGGCAAGGGAACCATGCTAGGTCTGAGGGCTGGAGATAAGGGGAGGCCACACTCCCTGCCCTCCGTTCCCCAGGCATCTTACGGGAAGAGCTATGCAAACTGAGTCAGGAAGAAAAGCTCATTTTTCTTATGGCCTAACTGAATTGGACTCTGTTTAAGATATTATTGTCTCAGCATTACAAAATCAATAGCCCTCACCCAGGATCTATGATTACAAATTCCAGGCAACCTGAGCCAGATACGACCCAGTAATGCTTTAGGAATCCAGAAATATATAATAAAGAAGAGTAAAACGCGATTTTATTTAGGGCTACCTAATACAATTAGCATCTCTCCTCCCCATTCCTGCGGGGGCTGGGTGTGTGTCTGGAAATTAGTGATGAGTAAAGTTCAAAAAGTCTAGTGGTTCATTTGGAATCGTTGATGCCATTGAATTTTATAGCTATCACTCATGCAGACGTTGCTCGGGGCACTTATTTTATAGCAATGGGAAATGAGAACATGCTAAGGAGGAGGAGGGTCCTGGGGGTGGAAGGAGAGGGTGTGTGGGGAGGATGTTGTAGTGCCTTGGTGGCACAGAGACAGGAAAGGACTTCAGGAGCAGTTCTGAATAGGAAGCAGACCTCAAGCAAGAAGAACAACAAATGTCCACTGTGGCTGACAATTTTAAGTGATAGTTTGAAATCTGCCAAGGCTGGGATAAACATTTTAGACAGTGTGATTTACTGCCAAGGTCAAGGTCAAGGTCAAGGGTGTGAAAATAGAGCCAGCATACTTTTGAGATAAAAGGAGCCCTTATATTCAGAAGTCCCCCAATCCCCCGTTCTCCTGGCATAAGGGCCCACAGGATCTGTACTGCGGGAGCTTCCTGCAGGTCTGACTTTGACCATGGCCCAGGCTGCATCCCAAGGCACAACCATCCTTCATTCTCCATTGGTAGGCTTCCAACAGCTACCTTGTCTGTGGCTTGAAGCCAACCAGGAGTATGTTCTGCTGCTGGTAAATTGACATCCATCATAGATGGGTGAAAACACTGAAGCTTGGAGAAATGTAGTGTTTAATATCCAAGATTAGAGGAAGCCAGTTGGAAGAAATCTGAGAGCCATTCAGATCTATCAGTCCTGACTGATCTGGGGGCACTGACCACCATCCTGTTTTCAAGTTTCCTTAAGAGTTCAATCTTATTAGGATGGGGAAGCCATTCCCAAGTACGTGATATGGTGGGACAAGGACAGAGTCTGCCTCCAAGCAAATTCTACCAGTTCTGTGACTTGGGAAGGCCATTGTCTTTGGGCTTGAATCACCTTATCTATAAAAACCATATAGTATAGGGGCTGGGGATACAGTTCAGTTGGTAGAGTGCTCATCTAGTATACACAAGACCCTGGGTTCAATCCCCAACACCACAAAAAACAAAAACAAATAAACAAACAAAAACCAGTATAGCTGGGTGCAGGGGTGTGCACCTGTCATGTCAGCTACTCGGGAGGCTGAAGTAGGAGGATCACAAATTTGAGGCCAGCCTGGGCAACTCAGTGAGGCCTTATCTCAAAAAAAAAAATAAATAAATAAAAAGGACTGGGCTGGTAGCTCGGTAGAATGCCCCTGTGCTCAATTTCTAATACATTACTGAAATAAATAAAAACTGCAGTATGATGATCATGAGTGTTACTAGCAATCACACATAGAAGGTACTGGCATAGGTGTTGAGTGAAGTTCACTGGCCACTGTTTCTAACCAGGGCAGCCTCCTTAGTCATCAGGGCTGGGGTGGGACACCAGGAGAGTCAGATCCAGGAATGCCCTAGCATGCCTACTGCAACCTCAGTTAAGCTAGAAATAGGATGGCTGTCGGAGGCAGAGCCGACCCTTCAAGCCTCGACTCCTCCCCCATGAGAGCTGTAACATCTTCCTGTTTTCCATTCTAGAAATGCTGATACATAGCCAACAAGCTTGTTCTTGCAATATGCACAGTCTCAATTGGGCTGGTGTGAGGGGTCAAGTTAACTGTTGGGCTTTGGTGTTCCTTGTCCACATTTTCAGTTCACTGGGGCAGGGATACCCCTCTCTCCCAAACGACATAGTGGGATCAGGCCCAGGAGGGACCATTCTTGAGCCCAGGACTCACAAGTCAGCAGAACTGCAGCTCAGGTTCCTGCAGATCGGGGTGTGGGGAACTGAGTCCCCACCGATTCTGCCCAGTGATTCCTGGACACACCCCTTCCCCAGGCCTGCAGGTGCTGCTGCCCGAGTACCTGCGTGAGCGTTTTGTAGCTGCGGCCCTGAGCTACATCACATGCAGCTCTGAGGGGGAGCTGGTCTGCAAGGAGAGTGACTGCTGGTGCAAGTGCAGCCCCACTTTCCCAGAATGCAACTGTCCGGACGCCGATATCCAGGCCATGGAGGACGGCTTGCTGCAGATCCAGGACGCCTGGGCCACTCACAACCGGCAGTTTGAGGAGTCAGGTGAGCAGCCGGCTGGCCCAGAATCCCTCCCTGCCAAAGAGGGGCTGACTGTGAAGTGCAATGGCAAGAACACGGTGGATTTGGTTTGGAACCCAACTCGGTCACTATCTCCGTGGCCTTAAGCAGGTAGGATCAGAACCCAGAGTCTCAGAAGCTTGAGTTTACCTTTATGTAAGTAGATATAATCCCGACCCAAGAAGTGTGTTTTAAAGACTTAACAAGCTATGATAAATATCACTGAGGACAGAGCTTGTGGGTCTTGTTTGCTACTGATCCTGCAGTTCCTAGAACAGAGCCTACAATAAGGGGCACAAGAAATACTTGCTGAATAAACCCAGAGTGTAGAATGGCTCCAGGTGGCACCCGTGGAAGCTAGTGGTTGCTTGTTGTGTTATAACTGATATCAATGTCACCTGGATTCTAAGGAATGGGTTTTGCATCTTTACCTTATTATTGGCCAGCTTGAAGACCGTGGGTTGGCTGTGATGCCCCTTCTCATGCTCCAGTTTCCCCGTGTGTGAAAGAGCGAGGTGGTGTGAATCACTTGAGGGAAGTCGCTAAGAAGAACACCACAGCACGTAGCCCATGCTTTGGGCAACGGTGGTGGGCTATATTCCAGAACATCATTTCAGGCCTTCACCACGGGAGCTACTCTCAGGAGTATAGGAGAGAGTCAGCCCCCCACCAGGGAACCTGAAGGTTACAGGCATCAAGTAAAAGCAGAGCCAAGGAGAGAGACCTGAGCATGAGTTCAGAAACACCGAGTGCCAGAGAGCTCTGAGGAGGGCGCAGGTAGGAGCAGGGAACCCGAGCCCCAAAGCACAGGGCTTCCAGATGAGCCACAGGAAAGAATGGCCATCTGACCGGGAGGCAGAGAGAAGGGTGTGCAAGGAGAGCCTGCTCACAGGGACTGAAAGGTCTCTAAGATTTCTGAGCCGAGCACGGCGCTGTCCTTGGCCTGCCTGTGACACGCTCCCCACGTCCATCAGGACGTCCCCATGTTATTGAAGATCAGCCCGAGACGGTGCTGCGGGATACTCACAGGGAGGTGTAAAGGGGGGAAGAGATGCAGCCCAAGGCCATGACCAAGAGCTGGACCTCTGGCCCTCCAGGTGGTGGCAGAGATCTGTTTTGAAATTCAGAAAGGGGTAGGAAGGATTGAAAACTCCCGAAGCCATGTTTCGTGGTGTGTGAATTGTTTATCAATAAAGCTATAATTAGTAAAATGGCAAAAGAACCCAGGACATGGACGTGAGCCTCCTTCTTCATGCGGTGACCCTCAGGGGTCCCTGGTCTGGGAGCACCGCTGCCTCCCAGCCCTCGGCACAGCCGGGCCTCCGTCAGCTCCTGTTTTCTCACCCACAGAAGAGTTCCAGGCCCTGCTGAAAAGGCTGCCCGATGACCGGTTCCTGAACTCCACAGCCATCTCCCAGTTCTGGGCCATGGACACTGGCCTCCAGCACCGCTACCAGCAGCTGGGAGGCAGCTTGAAAGTGCTGTTCAAGAAGACCCATCGGATCGTCCGCCGCCTCTTCAACCTCTGCAAGCGCTGCCACCGGCAGCCTCGCTTCCGCCTTCCCAAGGAGAGGTGAGCACTCTGGGCCAGAGCCAGAGCACAGCGCCCCCTGCAATAGCCCACAAGGACAGGGAGGACCCGTGTCTAGCAGGGAAGGTCAGAGAGTGAGACACACACAGCCATTTGATTCCCATGATCATGACCTTCTCACAAGGGCAGTTCCCAATGGCGAGTTGTGTCTGAAGTTAGAAAGAGAAAGAGACTAATTTTACTTGTATCTAAATTATAGTAGATTCAAATACTGTTCTGATTGTACTCTCATTCTCACTCATTTCCATTTTAACAAGTCTTTTAAGAAAGAGAGGGGTGGAGTTAAAGCTCATACACCAATTGCATATAATAAGAAAGACACATTGGGTTGTCCAAACAATGGACTGCTTTGGTCACAGGAAGAAGGAATTCCGAGTCCCAGGCCCTCGAAGACCTAGCGGGCCATGTTGCCACAGGCATCATCACCCACCCATCCATTCCTTCATTCCAAGGCTCTTATTAACTTCATATTCCATGGCCGACTATTTAGCTGCAGGGAATATTATTGAGTAGGAAAGATTTAACAAACACACAGAAACATAAAAACTAGAAACTTATAACTACGTGGCAGCCACTTATATTCTCTGTGGCAGAACATAAATCAAAGGGATGGTCTCCAAGAAGCACAGATCAGAGAGGGAAGACTTCTTGGAGAAGGGCATGTTGGGCAGGTTGAGCAGGAAGAGATAGAGACCGTCTGGATCACACAGGGGAGACAGCGTTCTAGAGGGGGAGCCTGGCTACAGCAGTCCAGGGGTTGGGCTCTACTTGAAGCACACAGGTGAGTGGAGAGGACGGATCAACAGGATTTTTGAGAGGGTTCATTTGTTTTCAACAACTAAGTACAAATGGCTCCCACCTACCAGAAACAATCTTGATCTCTGAGAAGATGCTGGTCACTAACACAGTGCCCCGGTCTCCCTGTGTTTGCAGGAGGGAAGTGGTCTAGAAGTCAGGAAACAACAACAAACATAATAATTTTGGACACTGAGAATGACCATAGGTTGAATGAAAACAAGGTTGGTTCCTTCGAATAGGATGTCAGGAGAGACCTCTCTGAGGATGTAGCAGAACTTCAGGAGAGCCAGTCATAGGAAATTCCCAGTCCTGGTGAAGAGTGATTGCAGCCGAGCAGATAGAAAGGAGAGAGCCCTTGAAGTGGAGATGAAGTCAGCAAGAAATTGTTGGAGTATTTGGAGCGTCTTCTAATGTAGAAGACTGAAAACCAAAATTTGATACCAAAGGTGCTGGAGATCTTCCATTTTTGAAAAAAAGAATGAGACTATCGTATGGCTGCTCATAGTCTGGTGTCAGATATTTCTGGGCTGATCCTTCAGATGCAGCTCTTGGCTTTACTCAGTGGGTCCAGAGGGGAGCAGCAGGGTGCCCACCGCTCAGAGAACTTGGGGTGTTGTCTTCATCGGAACCTCCTGCTCTGAGGGATGTTGGTGGCGTGAAGCTTCTTTTGACTCTTGCTTCATTTTTCTCTCTTCTCCCCAAGGTCCTTGTCCTACTGGTGGAACCGAGTCCAGTCCCTCCTCTACTGTGGAGAAAGCACCCTCCCTGGCACCTTCCTGGAACAGAGCCACAGCTGCACCTGCCCCTATGACCAATCTTCCTGCCAGGGCCCCATCCCCTGTGCCTTGGGTGAAGGGCCCGCCTGTGCCCGCTGCGCTCCAGACAACAGCACACGCTGTGGGAGCTGCAATCCCGGCTACGTGCTGGCCCAGGGGCTGTGCCGGCCAGAGGTGGCCGAGTCCCTGGAGAACTTTCTCGGGCTGGAGACGGACCTGCAGGACCTGGAGCTGAAGTACCTGCTGCAGAAGCGGGACAGCCGCATCGAGGTCCACTCCATCTTCATCAGCAACGACATGCGTCTGGGCAGCTGGTTCGACCCTTCGTGGAGGAAGCGCATGCTGCTCACCCTGAAGAGCAACAAGTATAAGCCTGGGCTAGTGCACGTGATGTTGGCCTTGTCCTTGCAGATCTGCCTCACCAAGAACAGCACCCTGGAGCCTGTCATGGCCATCTACGTCAACCCCTTTGGGGGCAGCCACTCTGAGAGCTGGTTCATGCCCGTGAATGAGGGCAACTTCCCCGATTGGGAAAGGACTAACGTGGATGCGGCTGCCCAGTGCCAGAACTGGACTATCACCCTGGGGAACAGGTGGAAGACCTTCTTTGAGACAGTCCATGTTTACCTGCGGAGCCGAATCAAGTCCCTAGATGACAGCTCCAATGAGACAATCTACTATGAGCCGCTAGAGATGACGGACCCCTCGAAGAATTTGGGCTACATGAAAATCAATACTTTGCAGGTCTTTGGCTACAGCCTGCCCTTTGACCCAGATGCCATCCGGGACTTGATCCTCCAGTTGGACTACCCATACACTCAAGGTTCCCAGGACTCTGCGCTCTTGCAGCTGATTGAGCTCAGGGACCGGGTGAACCAGCTTTCCCCACCCGGCAAAGTCCGGCTCGACCTTTTCTCCTGCTTACTCCGGCATCGGCTCAAGCTGGCCAACAATGAGGTGGGCAGGATCCAGTCCTCCCTGAGGGCTTTCAATTCAAAGCTGCCAAATCCTGTGGAGTATGAGACGGGCAAACTCTGTAGCTAACTGGGGGGGAACTCCTCCAGTGCCAGGCAGGAAGAGTATCCCCAAATCCAGGGTGCAGAGAGAATCCAAGCCCTGCCTTAGTGCCAACAGGAGACGTTCAGCACCCAGGACCTGGGACCCTAAAGCTTGGGTTAAGCAGGCCAGAGAGAAACAGCCTCTGCACCTGTGCACAGATGCGCGCACCCTGGAGCTCGTGCACACACACACACACACACGCACTCACACTCACACACCCTCACTGGGAGGCTGCAGCTCAGTGGCCTGGAACCTGCAGCCGGTGCTTTCTCAGATGAACACAGTTGGAGGAGAGGAGCCAAAGAAGAGGTGGAGAAGAGCCAGCCCGATCATGCAACCAACAGAAACCCTTCAAGTGATTCTTGTCACTCGGGAAAGCCAGAGGGGACAAAAATGGGCGGGGAGGGAGTTCTTCCTCCCCTCTGCGGAGTCACTTTTGTATTCTTTTTAACCAAATTTCTTAAAATGTCGTTCCTGTGGCTGCCTACGTTGGTTCCTCATTTTTGTACACTGCCTCCTCTGTCCCCTCCAGGCCGAGCTCACTGCTCTTGGAGTCGCTTCCTTAGGAGGCCCGGAGGTGCAACCAGCAGGGGAACCCAGGCCCCCGGGGCGGGCGGTGCCTCCTGGCTCAGCCCCTCCACCCCTCCCTCCAGAGCCACCCTCCAAGCCGAGTCCCAGGCTCCCCTCGTGGCCCCTCCGGAGCTCCTCTTCCCTCGGCACCTGTTCTGTCCAAGACAGCAGCTCCATCAAGACAGAGACAATGTATAGGGAAATGTTCTTTTTTTAAAAAAACAAAAATATTTATTTTGTGATTGTTTTCCTTGTCAATCTGCTCTAGCCACCTGAACATCTGAGTAAAAAGTTACTTGATTTAATATATTTTTTAAAAGGCCTTTTTTAGGGGGAAAAATGAGAGAAAGAAGAGAAAGAAAGAGCGTAGTTCCTTGGGTCGCCTGGATGTTTTGTAACTGCTATGTGTGAGACACCGGTGTCCATGGATGGGGGCTGTTGCTGCGTGGAGGCTGGTTGATCAGTATGCACACAAGTCAGGGTATGCCTGTGGTGACTCGGGATGAGGGATATGTGTGGACAGACAGACAGACAGATAGACAGATTAAATGAGAGGTGAGGCGGAATGCTCCAAGAGAGTTCTCTGACCGCACCCATCCTCTTCTCTCCCACCTCCCCCAAATGCGAGGATTGAGACAGGTCCTATGACCAGGGATTCCCCTATTGTGACAAGAGTTTGAAAGTCCTTGCTTCAAAGGAATTGCAGCCTCTGTTCTGGGCAAGTGCTGGAAGGGGGCTCCTCCTTGTTGCTGCGGTGGTGGGCTTCGGAAGCACTCCTCAGAGTCCCGTTGTCTGGGGTAAATTAGGAAAGGTGCAAATGTGGCATTGGCTTCCCAGCCTAAAAAGGAGCTCTGACACCAGCCAGAATGGTGCACCCTTGTCCCCTTAGAGCCTTCTGCCAGTGGGAAGTGTCGCTTCACAGCATATCATTTGATACGGAACCACTTCTCTGTGCTCCACATGTTCCGAGTATAACGCGTAGGCATGACAACCCTGGTTTTATTCAGAAGGAAGTCGCCACATAAATACTAAGTAGTCTATTCCCTAACTGCGGTGCATCTTGGTTGGTAGAAAATAGGAGACAATGAGAAGATGGTCATGTCTTATCTGCCCAAGAGTCTTCTGTGCTTATTTGTTGCATACAGAGGAATTTGATATCACATTTAATCATCGAACCATCTTTCAACCTACAAGAATCTGAAATCCTTGGTAAATAAGCAGCCTGGGGTATTTCAATACAGCTCATTTGAAGGCTTCCAGGATAGAAATCCACAGTGACGGGATGAGGGAAGGGTGAACACAGCCATTGGCTAGTGCAGTTCAAGTCCTTTCTTGCTTTGTGAGTTTATCATACCAAGCTCCTTGCCTGTGACTAGCAGATGACATCTTCATCAATGGGAGTGTTGAGGGGTACCAGAGGAGGGTGATTTGGGTGGGAAGCTTGTTGCAATGGTAGAAAGGCTTTGATCCCTTCCAGTGATGGGATTTGAGAGGTTTAGGGCAGACACTGATGTCTGATTTTAGCAATCCAAATCATCACGTCTAATGCTGTAGGAGTGGGTGGACAGAAACTCACTCATGAATTAAAGGCACACTTTTTCACGTGGCAAATAGTTAACTGCCACACACAGCAATATTCAGAGTGGGAAGATAGCAAAGCAGGACGGACTGCACAGAATTAGCAGAGTGGACTCTCAGTGGCAGGACCAAGAGTGCCCGAGAGGAAACTGAATCAACACACGGGGCTCACATCCCAACAGGGCCAGGTGCATAGCTGAGCTGAGGGGTGGGACATCTCAGCCACTTGTCTCTGAATCTGAGACCAGAATGGGGTGGAGAAAGCACACTATAGAGCTACTAGTAAGAATGCCACTTTCACTTATTTCCGAGATAAGAGATCTTATTTTGAGAGGACTGGGGAAAGGTGATGGCGAGGTGTATTATGATTTCAGGAATATATGCATCTGGTTATAGAAACTTCCAATTCTGGCTGCTGCTTGAAGGTTTAAACTCTGAAGCTGTGTATCTGCTCCATCTGAAAGTATGACTATATATTGGCAAATGGTTAGGAGTGCCCTTTTGAACTCAGGTGCAAGTAACCTTGATAGAAGGCTTAAGCAAACAATAAATTATAGGAGTAGAAAGTTTTTTATATTTTACCTACTCATCTGTTCTTCAGCGATGGATGTTTGACTCATTCATTCTGGAACAGTGATGGAGTGTCTGGTGTAGAAGAGCATGGGGTATAGCCGCAGACCAAAGACTTTGCTTCTGGAAGGCAGGCCTGAGGGTGCAAAGGATGGGCAGGATCTCTTGCAAGGATTGTACAGACTTGAAGCCATTAGTTCATCAGTTTCTGGTAGAACTAGGCTGAGAGAGATTTGATGGTAAGAAAAGGCTGCCCACAATTGAAATTTTCATCTGTAAGGTCTATAATAATCAAAAGATGTGAGCCACCTATTTTTAGTCACAGTTGCAAATAAAGAATTGTCATTAATTAGTACTGGGTTGTCAGTGTTGGTGAACTCATTGTGGAATTAAGAATTAAATCACAATTCAGTTACTACCATGCATTATATAAGAACAATCAGGAATTCAAGCCTAAATTGTAACCCCAAAGAACGAATACATCAAATGCTAATCTGCCCTAATGCTTGAGACTAATACCTCTAATACTAAATAATATACTTAATACCTGCTACTAATAATATAATGCTATGTTCTGCAAGTCTACTCACGTGTGGAAAAACAAAGCAAAGATGAAGATATCAATTTTCAATACTGGGTATCACAAATTGTTCAGAACCAATTCTTAGCTTCTTTTCAATAACACGAAAATACCAGTCATGATAGGTGGAGCTGCCTTAAGAATAGACAAAATACCTGCCCCAAAATATCACCTCCAAAATCTGTGATTTCTTCAGGTAGTCTTGCATTCCACAGAGCGCCCCCCCCCACTTTTTTGCTATTATAGTCTGCATTAAAGCTAAGATATCCTTTGGAAGAAATAGCCTTACAAATTAACCCAATGGCAACCTAGAGAATTAGATTTTTGGAGTTGGAAGGTTTCTAGAGGTCATCCAGTCTAATGTGCTCATTTCTGACATGAGGAAAAAGAGGTTAAAAAGATTGAGAGAATAGAGCTTTCCCAAGGTTGTATTTATCAGTAGAGGAAGAGCAACCTCTTCAGGTGCCCTCTATGCCTCTCTTTGCCAATAAATGACATCAGGGTCCTGGAGTAGGAGAGAGGCCCATGTTTAGTACTTAGAAGTGTGGGGTGGAGAAGAGAGACAATCTTCTAGGGAAGAGAAGACTCCTCAGAGATGGGAGGATCTTAAGTATTTTTTCCTGTAATTGGTTCTAGCAAGAAGAGTCAGCTACTAAAACAAGGAGAAGACTGAAGATTCTCCCCTGAAAAGCTTCACGTACAGAGTACACCTCTCCATCTAGGCTGGGGAGAGAGCAGTCAACCGGCCGGCTCTCTGAGGACCCTAGCAGCTCAATGTTTTCGAATTGCAATAAGCTGCCTCTAATTTGTTGTTATTTTCTATGAATTGCCAACGGAGAGCTTGTAGATCATTAAAATTCTGATAATTTCCACATTACATCTTCCTTGTGAAGGCTAGAGGTGCCTGGGTATCACCAGCATCCAAAGGTGTAGTTACTGTGGTCTAGACCTAGGGCAATGGCCAAGAAGGACATCAAAGCTGTGCTTTGCATAGGTGAAGAGTCCTTTCTCCTTCCAACAGCAAAGTACAGAGAATAAGCACCAAAGGAGTCACCTCACCAACACACAAAGCTGGCCTGCATCCATCACCTGCTCCTTCCTTTTCTTTTCATCCTTCATGTATTTAGTGCACGGTGCTGGGCTAAGTGCACACACAAAATTCTATGGACCATGTTTCTGGGGCCCTATACAAGATGATTGTGTGGGGGAGGGGGAGGGGAGGCTTCAACAATTAGTTGAGGTGCATTATTTAGTACAGAGTATCCAGCAGAGAGTATTGAGCACAGACAGAGAAAAAAAACACTCCCTGAAAGAGGCTCAAATGACATTTGTTGTGAACCTCCTAATAACTAGGAGCACAGTGACCAGGTCACCACATGTTTTTATCTCAGTGCCGGAATGCCCCAACATGCACAAGCATTTCAGGACAGAGAGGCAGCAGCAGCAGCAGTGCAGCCTCTCTGAAGGCACATGCTCTGTACTGTTAGCGTCCTTCCTTTTGACTCCTGAGCACCAGTCAGCACCTGGTGAATCACTTAGGAGACTTCCATGCTCGATAAGTTTAGGAAGGCTGTTTGGTAGATAGCAGCCTCCACCCTGGAGGGTGCACTGTGAAACCAGTGCTCCAGCCACTTTAAGTCATCCACAGATTCTGAATTACCAGCACTTCAGGGGACAGGGTCATCGTCCACATTTCTAACAAGCTTCTAGGCAATGCTGATGCTACTGGTCCAGGGACCACACTTGGAGGAGAAGCCTCATAGAAAGCACATCCAAACAGGAGACTTCAGGAAGTACAGGGACTAAGAAACCAAAGGGTCCTTCATATCTGGCTGTGAAGTGGGGACCTTAGGGACAAAGACCTTGGTGCTACTGGCCTTTCATTTCCCCATCAATTGGGAGCGAGATGTCTGACCTATCTATACCAATGGGCTGAGAAGAGAGAGACAAGAGAAAAGGAAGGAAACTTAATTAAATAAAAATTCCAAAGAAGCTGGCTTGCCTGCAAACTCTTCACAGCATCGTGCTGGCGGGGTAGAGGTCTTTTTCTCCCAAGCCTAACTGTAAATCTGTTCCTAAGAGGGACAGGGAGTACCTGTCACTCTACGGACACATACATTGAGATGATTAAATCCACACCAGCAAACCCCAGAGGTCCCTGACTTTAGACGGCACTCTGTGAACCCCCAGACACCTCATCTAAGAAAGGAAATGAACGATTTTTGTTTTCCGTTCTGTCCTTCTCTCCTCCAACCTGTGTGATTGCCACCCTTGCATCATTAATGGAAACAGCCACCAGAATTTATGAAGGGTCATTCTTCCAAGGATCTCAGAACTTAGAAGAATGAATCAATCAAAATTATTTATTGAGCATTTTCAGCTAGGAGCCATGGGAAATAAAGCAAACATGGGTTTGGTATGTACACTTCCTTAATTCAAAAGGTTTGCAGATGACTTAGAAAATGAAGCTTGCTGGAATGGTCTACAGCTACCCAAAGGCAAGAGCTGGACTTGCATTGCTTTGTGGAGTGGGGCTGCCTTGGTTCAATCCCATCTCTGCCACTTGCAAAGGGTGTGGGGC